ATTTGTTCTCCTTCAGTTTTAAAAATTTTTCTCTCTTAGATTTAACTCCAATTCTGAGTGTTTAAGATTTCTTGGCTGTTGGATTGAGTGAGAAATTGATATAAACTAGTGAATGATAACTGATGGTTTTTTGGCCTGAAGTAAAGTCTGTGACTATATAGAGTTAATTATTTATCGCTTCATAAATTTTAAGCAAAAGTGAACTCAATCAAATTTATCACAGTTATTTGCATGCATTTATTTATAACACATTCTAAATTTATAAAATAAAATAAACATCTGAGTTTTATTGATGAGTTGATGCAGGATTGGTTGAAGAGGTAGTAAAGCGAGAGAAGGAATCCAAGTCCAATCTTGGGGTGCGGGTGAATGTGATGGGTGGGATATTTGATATGACGAGGAGTTTGGAAAGAAGGTTGGTGATGAGCAAGCAGCCCTTGCTGCTCTTTACCTAGAATTGGAAAAAGAAAGGAGTGCAGCTGCCTGCTGCAGATGAGGCCATGTCAATGACGCTGAGGTTTCAAACAGAAAAAGCTAAAATAGAGATGGAGGTTCGACAGTATCAGCGGATGACTAAGGAGAAATTAGCTTATGACAAGGAAGAAATGGAAATCGTTAAAGAGGTTATTGTGGGGTGGGAAAGAGAGAAGCATGTTTTGGAAAAGGAAATCGAGATATACAAGCAAACGTTGGATTCTTGAGAACAATTTGAGCTGGATTTTGAAATTGAGCATAGCATTGTAACAAAGCCAACTAAAAGTTTTCGTCAAGCTTCATTACCCCCTCTATCACCCAAGGTGCTGTCCTAACATTTGCTTGTAGCTAAAATTATCCTCACGGAACTCTATGAAACCTCTTGTTTTTGCATCTCATTTTGAATTATTATTTTTGTTAAATTGTAATATTTAGCAATGCTTTTAGTTAGTTGTAATCTATAATTAATGTACAATTTACCATCTTATTATGAGTATTCTGAGGATCAACAATCTCTAGGGAAGTTTGGATGGATATCTCATCCATGCTAGCAATTCCATTCTTGTGCCCTCTTATGGTTATTTTATAGCTTAGTGGTTTTTGAGAATGAGACAAATATATATGATATTATAAGATTTTGCTATCGAATTATTTAGTTCTAAGCATGATATAAATGGTAGAACTGTATAACTATGATATTGCTTGCTCTTTTGCGTGGTTTGGATGTTGTTTTAAATGTCAATTTGCATCATGAATGTTGCCCAAACTTAGAAGTCTACCCGGGCTTTTGTTTATGATACAAAAAGGTTGATATAAGCAATTTCAGGCATGCAATATTGCATCATGTGCTTAAACCTATAATGTTTAAGTTTCACTTGATTTTTCATCATTAATGATTGATATTTGCAGAACTCTATATATGCTAAAATCATGTATCATGTACTTGTTGTTTATTTCATTAGTTCTAAGCTCCTATTGTTTCGATATTTTTCTATTTATTTATTTCAAAAGATTTATTGTCTATAAAATTAGATCATATGCAGATAGTATAAATCAAGTTTTCTTGCTTTAGTTATTTTAAGCATCTTCACTCAATTGTATTGTTTTGAAGTAAATTTCTACTTCTGAAATATCAAATATATGGTTGTCACAGTGTTGTTACAAACAATATTACTAAACAGGGGCAAAAATGGTCATTTGTCTAGAAATAGCTGCCACACAGCTATTTTCACACAACTGCAACAAAAAACAGTCAGCTTCCTCGAAGCAGTTTCGTAGGGCAGCTAGGCAGCTGCTTAAAAGTTAAGAAGCTACAGCTGCCCCAAACGGAATCTTAATAACAAAAAAGATTATGACATAAAACATTAAACAATGCTGAAAAACATGAGGATTGACTAAGGTAAACTAAAAACACTAACAAAATATGTTCAAAAAATTATTAGGTATGCGATACCGGCAATTGGATATGGGTGCAAAATTAAGCAAGAAAATAATAAAGAAAAAAGGGAGATCAACAAGAAAATAGATAGAAAACACAAATAACGGAAATTGGAAACAAGAAAACCTGAAAATCAAATAAAATAGAGAGAAAAATATAAAGGAGAGATACTAATTAAATAAATATACAAGAGGCAAGAGTTTACTGTTCTCGTAATCAATCAAGATGCAGAAATCACCGTATAAAGGATTGATCAAGAAAAGAAACTTGGTATATCACCGCCATATATGAAGAGATACAGTAGCCACCGACCGATGTCATGGTAGCAGACACACTCCCATCCAGAAACCTACGGAACCCAAAGATATTACATATTTCTACCTTATTTCAAAAGACCCATAATACAACACAAGACCACCAATTTATAATAAATTCTCAAACCCTCAATCTAGTACAAGTAAATGGATGAAAATACATTTACTAATACATTGACCCACAATTTGAACTCAAATGACTCGACCACACTTAACCCAGATCACGACTAGCTCTGTATCTTTCTCCTCGGGTATGAGGAGCGTCTTCTTCATCTACTACTGAACACCTATCTCAATTAGACTCAGAATGAATTATTGATTGGTTATTATAAAAGTTTTGTAAAAGCATCTTGGAACAGCCGACGAGGAGTCATAATAGGGAGAAAAGCTTCTGCTCTCTTCAAATGATGGGGTCTGGGGATGAATACTCATAGTTGGAACAGAAAGAAAAGCACCAATTGTGAATTCTGAAAAGACTTTTGAGATAATTCTCTAAACAGGGCAGCAAAAAAAGGAACGCCGACTGCACATATGAAAAGTGAAAGCTGTTGAATCTGGCCTGATTGTTGTTCACGGTCTTGACGTCAAATAGATATTGAATTATGGTCTCTTTTATTTGTCTAGAAGGCTGAATCTGTAGCAAGTAAAAGAAAGAAACAGGGAAAACGAAGTAGACAGAAAAGTAGAAGGGATTCAGAAATCAAGGGGGGAATTCCCAGAAAACAACAAAGAAATACAAAGAGAGGATTCAGGAATCGCAGAACAGCAAAAGAGGGAAAAGAAACGATATAGAGAGCAGAAAACCATAGTCCTAAACAAAACAGCAAGAACAGTAACAAACAGAAAAATTGGAAACCAAGGAAACAACTAACAGCAAGAATGTTACTTTTTTTTATGCAAACGGAATGAAATGGAATCAATAACCTTGAGCCCCGATACCAAAAAGATATTGGCAATGGGTATGGGAAAATCGCCCTTGAGAATAAAAAAAAAAAACAGGGAGATCAACAAAAAAAAAATAGAGAAGACTCAAAGAAAAAAAAAAAAAGCTGGAAATCAGAAAAAATAGGGTAGATAATATAAAGGAAATACATTAATCAAATAAAGAAACAAGATACTGGAATTTCCTACTCGCATAATCGATCCGTATATAGAAATCACCACCCGAAGAATTAACGAAGGAAAGAGACCCAATATGTCGCCACCTACTACAAAGAGAAACAGTTGTCACCACCCGATGTCGTGAATGCAGACAAACTACCATCCAGAAACCTACGGGGAGACCAAAGCTCTCACATATTTTTACCTCATTCCAAAAGTCCTCAAATACAGCACAAGGCCATCTATTTATAGCAAAACTCAAACCCAAAATCTAATACAGGTAAATGGACAAAAATACTCTTACCGATACAATGACCCGCAACTTGAACTAAAATGATTCGGCCCCATTTAATCCAGAACATGACTAGACACTCCGTGTCAGTATGCTTTCAACAACTGATATAAAAAAAAACTTACAAAAAGACTAGACAACTTTACTCAAAGCTCTAAAAGAATACCTAAAATTCACGTTAAGCACACTTGTTGTAGTTCTCCCTTACAAGTTTCACAACAATGCAAACATAGTATTTTTATTGATAATAGATGCAGACATGCACCATTCCAAGCAAATATTAGTTTGCTTTGCAGTTTAGACAATTAGCATTTGTTTGTATTCAAATTTTCTAAATAAATAAAAATTGCATTTTCATAGGTAATACAAAACATGATCAATGCATCAAGAACAGAAACGATTGCAGAATAAGTCCCAACTAAATATCAAATCAGAATGTAACACTGAACCAGTGATTCAAATGTTATAATGTGTAAATACACTATAAATTGTATATCCATTCATATAAAATGATCTAATAAAATGCTGACACTTTTTATCAGAAATTAAAAAACTTTAAAACAACTAGAGCATTTGTGCATAAGCTACAAGTGTTAATCACATTCACTTCCTGGCCATGCCCTGCTGTTTAATCATGAGGAGAAGGAAAAGACACCACTTATCAGAGTGTCATCTTCAAAAGCAATTTTCAAATGTTGAAAACCTCAATCATATATCAAATTGCAAACCAGCACATCCCACATTAATTTCTTTTTTTTTTTTTTGAAGGCCAGTTAAAATATTATCATGGCAAGATTATCGAGCCAACGATTAAAACAATGACAGTGATGATAAACTAAGTAGGCCGAATCACAATGAAACAGCCCTTGCATGAAAAAAATAGGTGGTCTACTTCAATCTAAAGATTTTATTGGGCTAAACAACAAAAAGGCTCAATTTTCTTCATTCAGAAGTTTGAACAACGACCGTTAAGGACTTGGATAGCAGAAACTTAGCACAACAAGGGCAATCAGTATATTTTCAGAAACTTCTATTGATATTTCTCAAAGAATAGAAATGAGTATTGCAGTGACAAATTACAATCGTTGCATAATTTCAGAGCCAAAAACCCACCTTCTCTTAACTATTAAGGAAAATCCTTATAATCGCTAATATATATGAAAAAACCAAATATATAGAAATAAAAGACAGTGTTACGCATGACAGAGTGAAATCATTCTATCTACTGCCAAACAAATGAATCATACCTCAGATGTATGGAGTTGCACTCAGAAACATGCAAAGCTTATTTTCAAAAAAGAGATACAGCAGAAGAAAGATATTCATCAGTCCTAAGTCTAAGGAAAATATGAAAAGCAGTGAAATCATATGGTATACTAACTTCACGACCAAATCTTCTTTGGCCATTAATCACTTGCTTTGAAGAATATCTTCTGCCGGGAATCACTGCATCATTATAGGTTTCATCCAAAGGAACTTTTGAAGGAACAATACTTCCTCCTAAGCATTGACCAAATGGAGGGCAATCCAACCAACCTGCAAGGTTCGAACACAAACACAAATGAATCAGTGACAGTTTTTCAGATAACACTCAAAGGTAAAAATATAATACACTATATCTAACAAGTTTCTACACAATTCAACATTTAATCCACGGAATTATACATATAATAGATCCCTCCATATCAAATGATGGCATAATTAATAAAAATTTAGTTAGTAGTTGTATTGCAAGCCCATGGCTTTATCTAACATAATTGAAGATCAACAAAAGAAAGTGAATTAAAATAGAAATAAAGTACAGTTAAAAGTTAAAGACTATCATATATCATATATTAATAATTCCATTAAAAAAATAGCTAGCATACATGATTTAATAGAAATAAAACACTAATACTTTAAAACTGTTATCTAGATAACTTCAGCAATTGTTTGGATTGTTGTTATAATAAAAAATACAATAATCGAAAAAACATTTGGTACTGACAAATGCTTAACAATCATATTCTTATATCTCGCTGCAAAGAACCCTGAAAGTCCATATCCAAGAATGATGTTGATAGTGCAAAATAACTAGGTGACTTGTTAGAGCATTTGTGCTTCGCTCAATCAAAGAATTCTAAAGAATTCCACTATATATATCTATATATGTGTGTGTGTGTGTGTGTGTGTGTGTGTGTGTAAATATATATATGTAGAGAGAGAGAGAGAAATTAATACAACAGTTCGTTGACCAAATGAGCAATCATTGTGATGTTGGCAACAGAATCACCATTGTATAAATTAACAAAAAAAAGATATACATGAATAATAGCAGCTATCACATCCTATTTTGTGCTTGTGCTCTTAATTCGGACAATGGATCACAATAAAAAACTAGCATGTAAGGTTTTTAAAATTCTTCCTGAGAAAATAGGTCTTTATTCATTTTGCTTTGATTTTGAGATTATGAGTTAGCAATGTGCATAGTTCAATCTGAACAATAAAAAAATTAAACCTTTTATTTCTCAAAATAAACATAAATTGCAGGCTTCAAATTGGCTGGTGACAAGATTAATTCATTCAAAAAAAATTATGAGAAAGTTTTAAAACACATTGTTATGTATTCATTATCATGTAATAAATATTTGCAATTATGAGAAGCATGATTAAAGCAAAGAAATTTTGATAAATTAGAGTTATCATGATAAATACAAATGCCTTTTGGAAATGATACAGCATGGAATCATATTTCACCAAGTACACTGCAAAAGAAGGAATGTGCAAATTCACCATGTATATGTGGTCAAGACTCGAGCTAATCCTCCTTTGGGATAAACAACAATATTAGATGCTTCTGGTTAAGGTACCTTGATTACTTGGGAAAGCCTAATGGCATGATAATGTCGATATGCATGCTACAGAACTTTCGTAGTTAGTTCAATATACCCTTCATAGATCTATCAAATTAAGCCATTGCAACCATTGGTTCCAACCTATTATTTGATTATTTTCTAGTTGAGTGGAATGATTTTGCTCATAATATACCGATATCAAAGAACACATAGGAAAGACCCAGTGGTTAGAAGTGGCCAAGGAAAATATTATTTAGTTGATGCAAAGTACTCAACTAAGCCAGATTATACAGATATTTGTTAATTAAGAGGATATCATGCAAAAGAATAGTCCAAACATGGCCCAACAATCTAAAATCACAGGCACGCATCCCTCTGCACGTCATAGTAATGAGCATTCAAATCCTTAAAGAATCAATTTAAGATGCCATTTGGTCCTTTGTGTTCATTTTTTCCTTTTCCAATCTATGTTTGTATGGTCATAATTTGTTGATTGCCACATAATTAGATTCTTGTTGAGATCATAGAAAATAAAATGACAGATTTGGTTCTCCAATTTCGCAAAAATATGAAGATCAAATCCAACTGAAAAAAAATATAGAATGGGTGTTTAAAAAAGAAACGTCATTGCATAATAATAGAGGTAGCATAAGTGGCACATCAGCCTTTTTTATATAGCTTATCTGGTATTTGACTAACATTATTGTTTTATGATTTTCTATGGTTAACATCAACATTGTCTTTATTTTTTTTAACTCTATTATCATCCCAAGAAAATAATAATAATGAAATCCAAAATGAAAAGATATTCAAGTATTTTTTAAGTCACTTCAGATGGGATTTCAGCATCTCCGTGCATAGAGTTCATGGAAAGATCTTCAAAGTTGAATTATTTAATCAAAGTTAATTCAGCTCTCTTTTATAAATCAGTAAGAATTCACATGCATGGAGCTTTTCACATTCTCAATTGTCTAGTTCCAACGTTTCACACAGCTTCAGCAACCACATTTGTGCATCACCAAAATTACGCCTTTATGTCACTCTTACGCTACAAAGTTTCCAAAGCGACATGCTAATCCCATAAACATTTAAAGGTAAAAGGTTTTATATCTAGCCACATAATAAAAACTTACTAGCTTGCACTAGCATTTGATATATTTCTACCAATCAATTAGACAGGTGGGCATGATAAATAGACATTATGGAAGGTAGACAAGCTTCTATCATTTATAGGTGATCTCTTATAAGAGAACAGAAATGCAAAATATAATGGTACGATGTAGCACAACCATAATCTACAAAAAAATTCAAGAATATAATTAGCATGTATAATAAACAACAAAATCAACCTAAAAAAAAACATGCACGGACACTCCAATCTAAAATTTCCATAATTTCCATATGACAAGGGTTTCAATTACAATTTACATTGAAATTGTTGGCAGGTTTTAATATTCATCGTCAAACCAAAAAATGATGACCGACAAGAACGTTGCACAACACCTAAAATAATCAAAGTTACGAATATGAAAAAATCACATAAACTTTAATGTTTAATAAAATCAAAACAACTACGTTACATAAATACTGTTCTGGTTGCTATTCACCTTCAACATCTGTCTCTATTGAAATAGTTCAGCATAAAGGTGAGTGGCTTGGAGATAAGAAAAATTTGGGACATAGCAGACAGGTCAAAAAATTTCCATTTTCTAGTTATCGATATTTAGCACAAGATCAATCATAAATGTTTAATAAAGAAAGTATACAGTCTCAATTGGCTCAATGAATCAAGCCGAGTGTCACATTTTATGATTAAATGTGATAATCTGTATAAATGCTATCAAAAAATTATAATATCAGATGACAAAAATACCCTAGATAATAATGATGACTTTTTACCATAAATCCCCCTTAAAATTTTACTAACATTTCAAAATTGTAAATAAAAACTTCAACAACAACAACGACAATAAAAAACCTTTATCACACTAAGTAGGTCGGCTACAAGAATACTTTTTCTCCATTGTGACCTATAGAGAGTCATATTTTCATTTAATTCTTTTTTTTTTTGCAATATGCCAAAGTTTTTTTAGATGTCTCTATATTTCTTAACATAAGTTGAATCTAAAACATATATTCTCCTAACAGAATCATCAGTTCGTCAACATTTAATGTGACCAAACCATCTAAGACAGCTAATCTTGTCTGTCGTTGAAACTACATCAACCCTTTCACGGATAAATTCAGTTTGCATTTTGTCTGTAAGTGTCAAACCACTAATCAACCTAAACATTCTCATCTCAACAACAATTAACATAGTTTTATGCTTCTCTTTTAAAGGCCAACATTCTGTACCATAAAGCATTGCAGGTCTCACAACCATCTTATAAAATTTCATTTTCAAGTCCGAGCGGCACTTTTCTATTACACAAAAGGCCTGACGCATTCCTCCACTTCAACTAACCAACATGTCATACCCTGAGGAATTGAACAAATAAGAAGAAGAAAAAAATTATAGTACCATGGGGAATTGATCTTATTTTTCCAGCATATCTAGATCCTTTACTTTGAGTCATGAAGTCATTTCTTGTTGATTTTGGATGTCGCTTGGGACCTTCATCTCGGTTCTCTCTTTTCAACCGGCGCCGCCGTTCTTCCCTTTCCTGCAAAATATATAATAACAAAATGTTAATATGCATATTATGTATGGGACTATTGAAAAGTATACTTTAAGCAAGAACATTGGTAATAGTAAGAAAACAGGAATGTGATTTAACAAATAAGCCAATCAAATAAGTAATCAGGGAAATAAGTTATTAAAGGTAACGAAAATAAAGGCAGCTGCATCCATCACAAGTATCACCCAGGATGATCCCGGCATACGATTTTGCGAATAAAATGTGCAATTCACAGAAACTAAGAGGTTTATGTTTTAAAAAAATGTAAAAAAAAAACCGCATTTGGACTGGAGTATTTACAACCAAATAAGCAGCTTTTCAAACTCTGGAAGGAAAAATTTAAATAAACATAAGCCTGATGATCATACACAAGTGCAAATGTATTCTTATGTCGCTCAATATAAGATAATTTATTCAAGCAAAAAACAAAATATGGCATACATTCAGAATATAAAATGCTAAATAGTATTTACTCATGATGCTTAAATGAAGCTGATGACAAACTATTTCATTGGGTGAATGGAGCAAAACAGACCACCTTGAAGAGATAAGCAAAACAAAAGATTTTGGACCATGGCAATTGTCGAATGCAAACTAATCCACTAGCTAATGATATCACCATTATCACTAATATTACCCCAAGCAAATAGCATTTACTTTATTAATCATCATTCCCATTTATTTCTATCAAGTGTTACCCAAAGCACAGCTAGACATAAAAAATCTATACAACTTCTAGTATGTTACCATTTGTGCATCATTTTTTCCTAGTAAATCTTCAAAATAAATTTTTGTACCCATCCTTTAGATATGCCTTCATCTATTGCACAATAAAACCAACATAGTAAGTTGTCACGATTTATCATCAATAGGTGCTGCTTTCACTATATCTTTTCAACTAAATATCATTACTAATTTTACCATGCATTTATCTTAACATTTTAATGTCCTTCACACTCAATTTTGCTATCAATCTCCTTTTTGATGTGTGAAATTTAAACTGACATACCATATTCAAAATAATTATAAACTCATAAATTTACCTTTAGTGTCCATCATAAATTCTAATAACATTAGTTTTGATGAAGCATTTCTCCATTTTAACTATCAAGTAGTAATTCTAGGTGAATCACGGAAATTATTTTGAGGCATACTTTGGCTTTTTGTCTTCTTCAAGATGTTAGGTTTTAAGTCTCTCTTCCAAATACAAGAAAGTATGCATTTCCAAATAAATAATTAACCTGAATAAAATAATAGGTTAAACTGAGGAAATTTATATAACAATCAATTTGGGTGCTGCCAAGAGTACTCCCAATCCACACAATTAAAAGAAAAAAAATGAAAAGCATTATAAGACTATTGACCTTTAAAGATAGCACTCTATTATTTAAGATAACACTAAACTAAATGTATAGCATTTGATAAATCACAAAATTATTTGAAAATGCACGTATAAGAGCACAAATTACAAATAGTGACCCGTGCAAGTCTTAAAATGACAACATCTAGCAGGTTATTGATGATTCGTTAATTAATTTTAGAAAAAAGTAACAAAATTAAAGAAAATGATATATGATGCCATTTAAAGATTTAAAATCCATTTTAACAACACATACTTAGCAAGAAAAACAAAAAAAGATCATTTTTGCTGAATTAAAAATTAAGGCAACAATACGAAAATTCATCAATAAGTCTATGGCATGATGTATACCGGAATGATGCATATGTACAAAGGAACTACAAATTTTACATCAAAATTAAATAACCAAAAACCCATGTGTAAATGAAGGCTAAAATCCAAATACTAGAAGAGATAAATCAGGAAACTACCCATCCTCACTTGATTGACAGTTTCAATTGAGAATAAGTCATTAAATTATGTCTCTATTGTTGTAAAGCGGAGGCCAAATTATAGATTAAAATAAAAATTTTGAGAATTAAAAACACAAGAGACATGTAACATGACCAAAAATTGAATATACAAAGATTCTCAAAGTAAAACCTAAGTACATCCAAACAGACATCTCAACTACAAAGCAAGCTCAAGCCAATCTTTCTTATTACATTTATATTAAACTAAGAGTCCTCTCAATTGACTTACAAGAATCTGATCTAAAAAATAATTGCTCACAGAATGAAATTCAAATAATTGAATAATGTGAATCTGACAATTTATAGAACTAAGCAACATTACTAATAATTTTGAATGTGTGATCCCGCACGTAACAAATGCGGTGATGGGTAATTCTCCATGAAAGTGGAAATAATTTAAGAAATAAAACATTGTTTGAAAAAGATAAAAGTGATACAAATAATTCACATTTTTTAGCTGAGGAGGAATTACAATCTTTAGCATAGGAAAACATAGCAGGAAGATGGAAAAACAATGACTACCCATTAGGAGAAGTCTAAAATCTAACAAATGCAAGTCCCAAATGGCCACCAATATTCTAAAATAAATACTTATTTCGTTAAGATGTCACAAAACAATAGAAAGGAGAGAGATGTACTCTATGCAAGGTCTGCACGGATGACTCATATATTGGTTGATCTAAAATTTCATCCTCAACTTGTTCTTGAGAAGGTTGATCATCATCTTCAGGTAAAGGAGATGCATTTAAGTCCATAAATAATATCTGGCAAGAAAAAAGTAAAGAGTCGGCATTATACCAAACATGCAAAAAATATGATTGTCTGAAATCTAAAAACATAACTCAAATTATTTATTCAGAATAATATATATATATATATATAAAATCTTGAAAATTTGTTATGTAAATTGTCCTAAATTATCATTGAAACTTGTTTGGGTAGCGGCGGAACACGTTTACCAAGCACCATACCCTTGCATATGGAATTTTTTTAATTAAGAAAACTAGAAACAGCCCAAATACTATCACCAACATTAGGAGCCACACAGAGCATTCAAAAACGCCATCAAGAATAAACACCAGCATCAAGAATAAATACCAGCATAATAAACAATATTCATGCATGCTCAACATTGTATTTAGTGACAACGTTGGAAATGATCTACTATTTAGAGAAGATATGTGTAGCTCAAATAGTTCGCATGATTTTTCCAACATATTTTGTGTGCAAACAGGCTACCACAACCAAGAATAACATGGTAAATCATTTCTAACGTTTGGAAAAGATATTAAAATACATGAGAAGAACATAGATTCTCATGTAGATCATTCAAAACCGTTAATGCTAAATGAATCATAATTTTTATCGCCCATATTCTAAGCTGCAAGGCCCGAACCTCTCATGCAGAATATATTAATCCCAATAATATGCCCTAACTGAAACTAATACCAGAAATAGAAATTCAGTAACCGCACAAAAGCACAAACATCTCATATGGTCACTCAGAATCTAAACACTAAAAAAACATGAGCAATCAATTTAATTCAAACAATCACAAGCTCACAAAAAAATTAGTAAAAAGTCAATCCAAAAAAAAAACGAGAGAAATAGTATATGCCTGCCTGAAATCACTCTACCAAAATACTAGTGGGCATATCTTACAACTGTGGGATTTAAATATTTGCCCCTTCCATGGTGACAAAAGCAAGTCGCGGATAGGTACATTCCATCAATGTTTAGGGTTTTGAAGGATTATTAATATATAAAAACTTGATTAGGGCGGCCGTGCAAGTGTAAGAATCCTATACATACCAATATCAACAAAAGATCTAAAGTATATAAAACTAAAAGTTAGGATTGAAGGATAGATAAAATCTTACATTGTGTCTTAAACTCCTGTGTCGAAAGCCTCGCTGAACGGATGACCAATTGAAGCCTTACACCACTGCACAGAAAAAGAGAGAGCTCGGTGAAAGAGTGAAAGGGGACAAGCCACTATGCCTTCGAGGGAATGAACATAATTGGAGGCTGTTTGGCAGACGGATTTAGCCAGGATTTGCGCAGTATTTAACGTGAATCCTGGTAAACAGCCTGAATGCACATTTTGGTGCTGTTTGCTAGCCTGTTTTAAGCAGGAATTAAGCTAAATCCTGCCAACCGGCCAAAAAAAACCCCCGAGCTCCCGTAAATCCCAAAATGACGCATATTCGCGATAAATCCGGAATTTATTAATCCTGCGAATCGGCGGATTTGTAAATCCGGGACGAGCGAAGAGGAAGAATGACGCAAACAAGCTTACCTTCCTCGATGGTTTCTCGTAGGAGGGGAGCGGAAAGATGAGAAAGATGGGAGTCTCGGTAGTCTCTGTAAGCCGCGATCCCGTTGTTGTCTTCGAAGCTAGCTCTAACGGCGACTGTACCGCGAAGGTTCGTTCACGAAGGCTATGGTTTTGGGCGAAACCTGTAGAGGAGTGACATAAAGATGGGAACTTTGGGCGAAACTGGGAGGGGGAGGATGTAGGCGAGGGTTTCGGGCGGAGAGCGGAAGAGGGAGACGGGTTTGGGGTTTTCATTTACTTTTATTTAAGTTAATTAATTGATTAATAATTAATAGTGAACATATATTATCAGATTAATTATAATTAATACATTTAGTTGTTAATTTTAATAGTTAATAAATACAACAACAACAACAACAAAGCCTTAATCCTACTAGGTGGGGTGGGCTACATCCTATTTAGTGTCATATTTTCATTTAGTTCTAGTAACTTAAGATCATTTTTAATACAATAAGCTCAAGTCTTCTTAGGTCTACCTCTGTCTTTCTTAACACAAGTCGAATCTAAAACATCTACTCTCCTGATCGGATCATCAGTTGGTCGACGTTTAATGTGACCAAACCATCTAAGACGACTTTCTCTAATTTTGTTCGTCACAAGAGCTACACCAACCCTATCACGAATATATTCATTTCGCATTTTGTCTCTAAGTGTAAAGCCACTCATCCACCTAACCTAATCATTCTCATCTCGGCAACACTTAACTTATTATTATGCTTCTCTTTTAAAGGCCAACATTCAGCACCATAGAGCATTGCAGGTCTCACCACCGTCTTATAAAATTTTCCTTTCAGTCTAACCCGTACTTTTCTATCACACAAAAGTCCCCGAGCATTCCTCCACTTCAACCAACCAACTTGAATTCTACTATTAACATCTCCATCTATGTCATCATCGCTTTGAACAACGGACCCAAGATATCTAAATCATTCACACCTTTTAATAATTTGATCACCCAAAGTCACACTTTTGTCACTAGAGCTATTACTACTAACCTAGACCCCCCCAGTAAGACCATCCATAACTAAAGCAAAAAGATATGGGCTTCCCTGATGTAATCCAACAGAAATAGGAAAATATTTTGTCAATCCTCCTTCAGTTTGAACACAAGTAACAGCTCTAGCATACATATCTTTAATGACTTGAATATAAGTCATATCAACACATTTCTTCTCGAGAACTCTCCAAAGGATATCTCTTAGAACCTATCATAAGCTTTTTCTAAATCAATAAAAATCAAATGTAAATTCTCCTTATTATCTCTAAACTTCTCCATCAAACCTCTCAATAAATGTATAGCTTCCATAGTAGACCTGCCCGACAGAAATCCAAATTAATTATGAGAATTTTTTTTGATACGCCTTAACCTATGTTCAATTGCCCTCTCCCTATAATTTGCACACTCTAGTGCATCCCCTTTATTCTTAAAAATGAGGACCAAAATGCCATGGATGAATAATTATTAATAAAATTTTAAAATTTAAATTATTTAATAAAAGCCTAAGTAATTTTTAAAGTATATAATTAATAATTTATCAACATTAAATTATTACTGCATAATAAATTATTTTAAAAAATTAATAATTATTCATTTAAATAACTAATTATTAATTAATTTACATGCTAAGTAATTTTTAAAGTATATAATTAATAATTTATTAACATTAAATTATTACTGCATAATAAATTATTTAAAAAAATTAATAATTATTCATTTATATAACTAATTATTATTTAATTTACATCTACATGTCTTTTCCATACACTTTGAAATTTTAGATGCTCAATTATATTTTTTATTTAATACAGATATATAATAAATTTTGTTAAATTTTTCGGAAACTCTAAAACAATTTTTCCGATTTTAACCATCTCAGGATTTAATAAATTCAGATTTACTTAAATGTTTTTAGGATTTAAACACCTTGGTTATTTAATACAGATATATAATAAATTTTGTTAAATTCTTCTGAAACTCTAAAGCAATTTTTCCGATTTTAACCACCTCAGGATTTAATAAATTCAGATTTACTTAAATATTTTTAGGATTTAAACAACTTGGGATTTAATGAATCTAATTTATTGGATTTACTAAATTCAATTTAAACTAAATCCTATTTGCTACCACAGAGCCTCTTTAAATCGAGCGATTATTGTGTGCGGAGAGCGCTCGGTATAACACTGAGACTCACTGTCGCGGTTGTGATTGGAGAGCACACGCAACTTTGTGTGCGCTCTCTGCATGCAATAATTACACCTTTAAATCCATTGGAATCTTAATCTTATTTTATCCCCGCTTCGGCTCAATCCCCAACTTACTAATAAGCCTAGGTTATGGCGACCTTGACTATTTAGCTGAAAGAAAATGCACAAAGGGTAGAGATATGCTAAAGCAGTGCCCGTAGATACCTTTGCTGGCAAGCAGCAGTCCCGACGTCCCTTGAGCCTTCTGTATAGGGCGGAAATAGGAGAAAGTGGGGTTTTGTTTCGAGGGTTTTGAATCTGAGGGATAAGATTAGGACAAAAAAGATGGTTGTACTTTAATTATATATATTAATAAAAGATAAATTTACATTCATGTTGCATGCATTTTTTTGTCTTTATAAATCTAATATTCAAAGTTTAATATGTTCATTTATAAAATTTTGATGTTAGAAATTTATCCATTCAAATATATAACTTATTTTTAAAAAATTAAAAATAATTTTAATTTTATATGTAATTTAAATGTTTTACAAGTAAATATGATTTTTTAAGTGTTGAATGCATGAATTTAAGCGAGTGATGTGGCATGTATGTAAATGCACCTAAATAAAATCAATATAAATATATTAAATAAAAAATTTATACTTAATAATCACTATTAATTAATTAAAAAAAATAAAAATGATATTATTTATAATGCAATTCAATGATTAATATAAGAGATTTAACATAAATGAAACTTAATGATATCGAAGGGGTAAAAAAAAAAAGAAATAAATCGTATTAACTAGTCTTCAAATATGTATTATCACTAAATAATATTAAACTTTTATTTTAGCAAACAAATTTATATTTTGATATAGGTTGTCAAACATTTTATCAGAACTTCATTGAATTTAATTTCTATCATATCAAATAGTTTTTCTGGATTTAATTGGCTCGGTATCTAGTAATTTTTAATTTACATGATTCACTACAACATATTTGAGTTAAATTCTACTTGAAGCCTAACAACTCCATGAATTGGGGAAAGCTTTATGCAAGGGGATTGCTGAAAGACCCAGTGGGAAACTATATAAGCTTCGACAATATCAAGTTGCTCGTCCTTCTAGGATGGGAGTGTGGCCCGCTGTGTTGAATGGGATTAGAGTCTGTAACTAATATGAGTGGTCCACTTAAAATCAGACGATCACCATAGGCTCATATAAGAAAAATGTTTAAAAAATTGTTTCATGGCTAGTATGAGGAGAAAATGTTTCTAAGACAAAAGGTACTAAGGCAAGAGCAACCGAGGAGAGGGTCACCTACCCATAAATTACCAAGAGTTGGGGTAAGAAGTGCTCTAAATACAATCTTCAAACAAAAGAAGTTACACATGGACAACCTCTATCGTTTAGAAAGAAAAGAGTTTGTCGTGGACTCAATCAGAGAAGAAAGAAGAAGAAGGCGAAGGTTTCTCCAAAATACTTTGAAGATGAAGTAAGGAGAAGAAGAATGAGAAAATGATTTGTAGAGAATGTAATCTAGAGAGAGATTTTGGAAGTTGAGGCACTGTGGAAATTTAAGATTTTGTCATTAAAATCTTATAGAGGAAAATATGTTCCCACCAATCATTTGGCTTCCTTCAGGTCAACTGTTCGTCTACTCGGGATAAACAATGTGTCGAAATGCTCTTTATTCCTTATTACATTAAGAGAATTGGCCCTACATTGATTTAACAACTTGTTGGTAGGAGTTATTACATGCTTCTATGTATTTAAATACATGTTCATGGCTTAGTTCACCAGCAACGCAAAGCTCTCTAATACCACAACTACTAGGAAAAATAGAGCTACAACACAACACAAACTGAAAATAACATTACCAACACATAAAGTAGCACAAACAACACCTTGAAAGTGTATCCCACGAGTGTTGGAGGTTGGTTATGAGGAAGAGGATGGATAGCGGTGGGCCGATGGCGACAACAAAGGAGTGAGAAACAACAGAAACAACTAGAGGGTTGGCTATCCAGTGTAGCGACGAGAAGAAATTAGGGCAGAAGTGGCAGGAAAAGCAAAATTTTGTTGTCCCGGGAGGAGGCAACAAGGGTTGGTGGGCGGAAGCTATGTTAGCAAAGATGCAGATAGTTTAGGGTGGCGAGAATGTGTTGAACAACAAAGTAATTGCAAAAGAGGGGTCGACAATGGCTCGGGAGGTGGATTGAGAGTGACCAACAACTATGAGAAAAGAGGGAAAGGGTTGGATAGCCAAAATGGGGGAAGATACAAACCACCTTATAGTAGGATACAGTCAAAGCATCACCACCTCCTCGAATACAGCCCACAAAGAGAAAAATGACTCCACACATAAATTTGAAAGCAACACGTAGCAAAACTCCCCTCCTGCAATCAGGAAACGACAATTTTGTAGACTCTTACATGAAGAACAAAAGGAAAGAAATAAATAAGAAAACTCTCACACAAAAGGAAGGGATGGAGCTGCAAGAAATATCCAAAACTTAGCCATTAAAACACTTTCATGTGAAGAAGCAAAAATAGAAGGAGGAGAACGCAGGTGGTAATGTCATCCCTTTACAAAATGCTGCTCGATCTAGCGGGACACTGGAAAGGATGAAAATTCCGCTCGCCATCTGCTACGCCCCAAACCAGTCGCACCAAGCATCTAGACTGGCTACCCTATGTTATTCGGCTGAGCTGGTTTGTTTCTACATTTATGTGGGCAACTCTCACACCCGTGTCAATATGAGAAGTCTAGCCCCCCCCATCCATGCGGAGAAGCCCCGTATCAGTCTCTCGGGGTTAAGGGAGCTTCAACTTCAATTGACGAAACGTTAGGCTCCTAGCAGCACTATGTCAATTCAGTGACGTTAAGCGTGACTGAAACATTTTAGCCCTCTGCCAGGTTGATCTTGTAAGAGTTCTCGTTCCAAAGAACATTTTGGTATGATAGGTATCCGTCCATCTTTGGCACATCCTGGGTTGGAATTGTATGAAGACCAG